CTTGATCCAATCGTAACTGTTGTGAATACGGTACTTCAAGAAAGCAAGTGCGTCTTTATCTCCATGCTTCACATCATCCATCGTTGGATTTTACACTCCTGCCGAAGAATGACTTCGCAGGCTAGACAACACGTGGATTGGGCGAGGAGAGGCGACGCCAGGAGGAGAAGGCCGCTGCTGACACAAAGCTCTGGTAGAGGTCTTGGTACTGGTGTCCTCCGTGGCCTCACGGGTGCCCGTACTGCTGCTGTTCATCATCCAGTGAATGACGATGGCTGAAAATAGAACTGAAACAATCATCAGCCCAATTCTTTCTGACCAGTAGGAGCGAACTTCAGAGGCTTACTATCGCTTGTGCAACACATCATGCATAGCCACGCAACCTCCCCCCGCAAACCCACTATGGTAATGCAATTACTACATGATGTTAGCATTTCATCATTTGGAAAAGTGGTCTTGTATCTGAAATACCTACAGTAGACTGCTGCCCATTGTGGCTATCGAGCCGATAATGGTTCTCTTGGCCAGTTGCCGAAGCCTACGGTTTTGGGGGTTGGAGGAGTGAGCGTCGGGGTGAAAGTAACGGAAACCGGTGGTGGAGGGTAGCCACCGCAGCGAATATGTTCCTATTGAGCCGTTAACAGACATCATCGAGCGCGAGGCTGAACCTACTGAGTAGTGGCTGTAAGAACAGAATTGTCAAGTATACCTGGAACAATAATCAGCATACGTATCGTGAGTTCTTGCCATGGGATCTCTTACAGTGGCAAGTGGATCTATTGCAATGAGTGGTATCATTGATTGCCAGCGAAAGTAGATGCGACAACCACCACCATACAAGTCCCATACGGTACTAAATGTGGAAATATCAATGACTAGTCTATGATGTGCTTGTAAAAAGAAACTAACTCTGCAATATTGTAGCTGCTAATCGTACCGTAGATACCTAGCACTAGAGATCAGTCGAAATAATACAGAAAAACGAAAGAAGCAGGAAGCTCCGAAGGGGTCGGGACATTATTAGATCAACCTACCGATGACCAGAAAAATATTCCAGAGATACAGCTTAGACCTCAGTCTTGCCTTCTTGGTGCTGCGAATGACGTGCTTTGGCAAGACTCAGCATAGGTTTCAGGCATCCCCCCCCTGTTCGGGGTATACTCACTGCACGATCCACAAGAAACAGGAAGATGAACTGGATTGTGTTAACAGAGAAAGCGAGCTGGCTTGAACATTAGGAACTCACAATCTAGGTATACGAATTAGTCTTCTGTAGTCCATAATTTCATTTGTCAACAATTCTTACCTTGCTTCCCATGTAAATAATCGGGCACAAGAGTGCTGTTGCTCTGCATGTTGCTTTGCTTGTACCATTTCCTACCACAAACTGCATGATGAGGGCAGAGACCGAGTATGCCAGAGATGTTCCGTAAATGAGAAAAACGAGCCAGATGATCCACGGCAAGTTTTGCCAGCCCTTTCTTCTGACTCTCATTGCACGCAGTGTGATAAAGCTGGACAGCACACAAGCGGTTGTGATTTCGATAATGCAACTGCATAGCCTTGCAGCCAACGGGCTGTGGTACCAAATTTCCTCATCCTCTCTCTTGCCAAGCACATCCATGGCTGGGACGACTCCTGGTGAAATGGCAGTCATCGCAATATTCGAGTTGAAGTTACTGCCCCGGTGTTGTGCTAGGCAACAATATGTTCGGCTTGAAATGGATTGTTGAAGTCAAAATTAAAACGGGCAGCGCTTGGCGTTGAAACTTATCGAACATTCAGACGGGACACGGATTAATATCCCCACAGGTAAACTTGAGGCTCTGGCAGGAATCAGAATGGTTCAAGCGGGACTTCGGAATGTCCGTCGAGCAAGCTGAGCGTCGAGGCCCTCGAACATAACGCCACTGCTCCTCGCCATTTTCAATGCATGTGATCGGCCGTACATCTCACAGCGGTATTGGACAGGGTGAACTGGCTTATCATCAGTGGCATCGAGGAAAAAGCAAAACAGTTGGCGGTCTGATAGTTGCTTCCGTGTGCAATTGGGCTGTTTCCCCAGTGCCGGCATCCTTTGGCAGATCATGCGAGACTAATGTACAGTGCCAAGGAGTTGTAGACCGGCAACGCCGAGGAAAACGAAAAAAAGCGCTAGCCAGGGGATATACGCTAAGCTATAGAATGATAAATCCTTAGGGTGATATGTTACTCTTTGATTCGCTCAACAGACTGCGATGCCTTGGCCACACCATTGCAGAAGCATGCATCTCATTGCATAAGTCTTCAGCATCACAGACGTACCTCCATTAGGAAGAGAACTTATAATCTCTGGCCATAATTTAACCCTCTAGGCTTTCTAACGCCTCGCAGTGGCGAGATCTTACCGCAAGACGTTACTTGGAGTGACGCCTACCTCCGTCCTCATAGCTACCTAGGTAAGAAACGGCTCTTGCCATCTGCCAGTCTGACACTCAAACCTCTTTGGCACACGAATGTTTTAGTAAGACTTAGTTTAACTCCGCTATTTTGCCATTTCCCGTCAAATTATTAAGTAATTAGTAGTATGAAGCACATTGTCTTTCATATACACCGTCGCGTCGGGGCCTTCACGCAGCTTGCCCTGTGCTCATCTGATGTTGGACTCCGGATTGTGCCAAGCGACGCGATTTGATTGGAAGGTCTCACTGGAGATTAATCAACCAGTCATTTGGGTTGTGACGCAGTACAGAACAGCGATGCCATAGATTTTGCTGGTAGTCATCTGAAGAGTGGCGTTTGAGATGGCAAAGGCTGAGTGTAATTTTAAAAATGATATTGCGACTAGCTATCTGGCAGGACCAAGGGTCTACTCACAAAACCTGGGGATGAAGTCCTAGTAAAAGTGTTTACATGTTCAGTAAGCGTAGTGAATACGTCAGGTCCAAGGAAACCATGGTAGCTTGGTGTAGGCGTGACCCTGAGAAGGAACATCTGCAGTAATGGTGAGCTGGAAATATCCTCCGGATAATTGCACAGTCTTCTTTTCAGCCAAAACAAATCCTCATTCATGCTCTAGTATAAGACTCGTACTATGTGAATACGGTACAACAGTTGTTTGACCGTCGTTATCTACATGACTGACCTCTCTGCGCTATTGGACAGCGACCATCGTGACATAAGTCTGCCATCATCACAGCTACGTCATAGTTTTCAAACCCCACAGAGGTCAAAGGGTTCCATGCAATACCATTTCATCGCGTGTTTTTATCGATTGCTCAATGTGCGTCATATGTGATCTCTACACGGGCTCGGCAGTCCTGGGGATTGCGATCTGCAAAGAGAATCAGGAGCTAGCATCTACCCGGTGGCAGCTATCAGGATCCATTACTGAATAGAAATGTCACACTAGAACATTCTTTCCTTCGATGCTTCGATTGATGCTTCGATGAAGAAAAAGAAAAGCCACTAGCATGGCTTCTAGAAGGATGCACCTTCGAGAGATGGTAAAGATCGTCAGTCAACTTTGACAGCTTCGGGAAGAGCGGCCAACGGTCCGATGCAATCGCTTCTCAATACTTTTAGGGATCGAAATATCATACATGACCATACAGGTGATCCTCATAGGAACCGGACTTGTCCGCATGCCCCCAAACCTGACGCCAGTGCCTCGTCAAATGGCACGTTGTCATTGGCGCTGCCCACAGCGGCATCGCTCATGACACGCATCCCTGAGGCAGAAAACGACACCAAGCAAGTGAAGATCATTCTTATAACAGGCCTGGTTCGGAAGAATGGTATTTTGCCCAACCATCAACAGATACGAATGCCTGCGAGTGGTCTCAATCGTCTGCAGACCTGGCTAGCCTACGCTAGAAGTATCTCACCAACGACGAGTGCTAATCTAACTGTGTGGGTAGACACACCGCTTCAAGCCACCGGGGCGGGGGCAAGAAATGTGCCCTGATGGGCGTTCGGACGAGATAATCCGGACTAACATGTCTCGTAGGTGCAAGCCCAGGTCGCCCCTGTCCCGGGCTGATAGACCGCCAAAAAGCAAGTAGAGTGAATTTAGCCCAGAAGGACTGCGGAGGCTAGAGCCTGTAAGAATGAATTCAAATCGGACGATCATCCAATCAATTTACTTGTCAAAGATTGTGGCTTTGCTAACGGTCATCGTAGGTGTGTACAAGGGGGAGGGGGGATATAAATCCAATGTTTGAGATCGGATTAGGCGAGGCTGAGGTTTCCAGCTAGACTTGGGCCCTAGAGACCTTGTCATTACAGTTGATTAGGGGAAACGGGTATTTGTTTTCTTTGTTCGCCAAGGAAATTCTGAATAAAAGCATGAAGAAATTAGGATGTTAGCTAGGATAGAATAGACAAGGGGGGTTTCCTCTAACAATCAGTCTCCGCAGCGGGACGAGCGACGATCGATTTGTGAGCCAAGTGGGAGAGACGCGGTTGCAACGATCGACGAGACCTGAATTTGCAAGCCCACATACCTGTTCACCTTCACGCTCTTATCAGGCTATTACACAAGCTAAGATGAAGGATGCGTTGGAGACCATACTCGAGGGGGTACTAGCCTTGCTTGGATATTGAGACGACTGCCATCGCTTGGATGTTGTAAGATGATTCTTTTACCACTCATGTTGGTATGAATGCCTAACTCAAAGAGACCATATTGAAACAAGGATGTTCCAAAATCTGCCTTGCAGTCTTCATAACACATCCAGACTCGAACAAATAATGAACCAAAGCGAGGATATCAAGTAAAGTAAGTGTATTCGTAAGGATACCTATATTTGGGGTTGAAATTGCTGGACGAGCTATTTATTTTTCAAGACTACTAAGTTCGGAACATCAAGTAGTCACTGAGAACCATGGAACAAATCTGAAAACGTTTGCCATACTCGTTTGATCACGCGTCGAATCTCTCATGATGATCATCTCATCTATTAACTAGACACATAATCTATTTGACGCACATCTACAGCTGAACACCTATCACCACACTCTCAAACACGGCACAAACGGCCATTCTGGGTCGGGAAGCCATCAAGTTGGCGCGTGACGTACCAACTCTCGCTGCCGACACCCAGGTTGGCATAAAAGACACCAGTAGGATCAATCTTTTGCTTGAATGCGAGCAGGCGGGCGTACTTCTCAGTACCGTAGAATGACTGCTGGAAGTCAGGCTCAGTCACGTCACCCTCACTGGCATATCCGCCACCGCCAGGGGTGACATCCCGCCAAGGCTTCATCCACTCGTTGGTCAACAGCTTCGACTTCTCAGCAACGACCTCGGCGGGCGTGCCAACGTCCCAGCCCATGACGGAAATGGCAAACATGGCAGCGCCGCGCCACGCCGGGTTGACAGCGTTGTCGGGGTAAGGGCCGGGGCCGCCGGTGATGCCGAAGCCAATGATCTGACCGCCCTTGTCGCTAAGGCCCTTGATAGCCTCAAAGGTAGCGTTGAACTTCGTGGCGTCGGAGAAGTTTTCGGTAGGGAAGAGACGGCACGCCGTCTTGGCGGCCGTGCCGCCGACGGACTCCTTGGGGAATCCGGCCTTCCAGGCGGGGAGGAAGCTCTTGTGCTCGGTGTAAACGGGATCGACGGTGATGCCCAGCTCCGTCCACTTGGCGAACAGCGGGGCAGTGAGCTCCTTGAGTTGGGCGAGAGTCATGTTGGGGGCGAACCAGGGGAGCATGGTGAAAGTGAGGGCATCGGGGCCCGTGTGGAAGATGTTCCAGTACTCGTAGTTGCCAGCCGCGTTCCAGGTGGGGAGACCCTCCCAGTAGGCCTTGACGCCGGCCCAGAAGGCTTCGTGGCTGACGGTTGCGCTGGTGCTGAAGCTGAAGGTCATGACGGCGATGGTGTCGATCTTAGGGTAGGCCCTGACGACGTATGAGGTAACAACACCATAGGTGTCTTATTCTTGGTCAGCTTGTGTTTCTTTTGATGGTGATGGCTCAACTTACTTCCACCGCCGCCTCGAAGAGCCCAGAACAGCTCCGTGTTCTGCTTCTCGTTGGCAGTAACGAAGCGTCCATCGGGAGTAACGACATCGATGCTCAGGACCTGGAAAATGCGACATTAGTAAAACTAAGTGTAGAATACACGAAGAAGCATTCTTACCGAGTCAGCAGCAATGCCGTACTTGGGTGACAGCGGTGAGTGACCACCACCTGCAAGGTAGCCTCCAGCATAGCCGACAGTCATGCCCTCGCCACCGACAGCAGTCACACCGAACTTCTCAGCTGCCTCATACAGCTCGAAGCCTTGAACACCAGCACCAACCTTGAGAGCAGGGCCAGAGTAAGAGGTGGTGGTGTAGGTCTTATAGAAGTTGATACTCTTGAGGTGATGAGTCCAAACGGAAAGGGCACCGGATCCAGAGGAGCGACCGTTGAAGTCATGGCCAGTGTTCTTGACCACGAGACGAATGTTGAGATTGCGGGCAAAGTTGACTGCGAGCTGGATCTGCGCCACATTCGTGGCCTTGACGACGTACGAGGGGAAACCACCGACGGTGCAGGTGCCGGCGGAGCTGTTGTCGACTGAGGGCGGCATGCAAGTCAGGCCCTGGTATAGAGGGCTCATGACTGAGGTTGGATCCTCGGCACTTCATGTTCTATCAGCACGTTGGAATCAAATCATAGAAGCAAAGGGCTTTGGCTTACTGGATCGTAGAATTAGTCCACTGATTGGTGATGTACTCGCAACGGGTGGCGTCATAGTTGCCAAAGTCATCAAAGCAAGAAGCGCCAATAGGCACTGTCTCGGTGACGGCGAATCCGGAAAGGAGATTGAAGACGCTCCATACTGCCTTGTTCGGCCAGAGGAGGTCCCCGGGATAGGTCTTGCACTTGTTGAAGGTGCGGGCCGTTCCAGAACGCTTCTCCCCGGCGGCAGTGGTGTCAAAGTCAAAGAGGGAGATGTTGGAGAGGGAGAGGTCCGTGAGGTTAGCCAGAACGGCGTCCGTCAGCTGGACGCTCTCCTCTTTCAAGAGATCAGTGGAAGCAGCAACGACAACGGGCTCAGCGGCTGGGGCCACTGTGGACTTGTTGGCTTCTACAATATGAGTGGTAGGTTAGTCATGATACAAGTCGTAAAGCACTCGCATGCGAACCCTCAGGGGTTCACATGTGGAAAGTTAAAATGCGAGATCAACATACCGATTACTGCATCGTCAACCACAATGGTCTGAGCGTATACCAAAGGCAGGGCAGCGGCTAGGAGGAGGACCTGGCTGAGTCGAGACATCTTGTGTGCCAAGAGATTTGGGGGTTGAGGACTTCAGACTGAACGAGTAAAAGATTGGACAGAGGGCGCGACAAGGAACGGGTTTGCGTGCTTGTCAGACAGGAGCCTCCAATGGTTGATCACCGGGTTTGTGGCTGGCGGTGCGGCGGGAAAGAGTCGAGCGTGCAGAAACGAGCAGTACACCACGGGATTTATAACATCCACGTGGAAGCGTTGCATCTTGCCATCCTTTCTTCACACACCAGTAACACCACGCGTATGGTTCGATAACAAGTGCGAGATATTTCCACTACCGTACTGCCCGTTGTCGATAGTCCACGGTAGATACTGCCTACCTGAGCCCGCCGACATATCCCGGCCGTCCTCGCAGTCGTGGCGGAGACCTTGCATTCGATAGCGGCAGAGGCCACGACATCTCACCAAATTGCGAGGATGAAGGAGTCAAGGAGGAAGGGACCATTTGGACGAGAAGGGATCTTGGGTCCGCCCCCGGGCAAGAATTGCACCGGGGCCCGGGTTCGCTTATACAGATCTGGATGTCTGTTTGGCCAAGGGGTTCGGGGGGGAAGCAGGCTAGAGCAACGTTGGTGGCGAGAGTCGTAGAAACCCCGCGCCGGGGGTTACAACGGCGGGACATTAAAAACATCGGCATTGCAAAACTGCGCAAGTAGTAGGCTGGCTGGTGTCTCCAGGACCTTGGTTACAACTTCTTCTAGACATTCTCTCCCGAGTGCCGGCGCCGCGCCGCCGACACTAACGGTTTAAGACCAATGTCTGTGGGCAAAAGTCTGCCACACTCTGGGACAAGTTCGTCTCTTGAAATGGTGCTGAGGAGCGGCTGAGGCGTCTGTCAACTTTAAGCCAAGCTGAATAAGCCTGGTCTATTCGTAGTCTATCCGTACCTATCAACGTCTGTCTTCCTCCGAGAGGCATGGTGGCGAGGAGAGTGTCGGGAGCTGGAGATCATTCATATGGAACATGGCCCCCCTGGTGAACTTTCTGCACGCTTTGTCCTCTTCCGGGCACCGCCGCTCCACCGCGTACCTTGTCCGCAACGAAATTCCGGCTGTCCGCGTCAGTGAATCTCCCCTGTAATGTCTAGGGATCCCCGAAAAAAGATCTTGGGGTTTGGTGGAATGGTGGGCAAGACTGAGGGATTTGCGCACAAACTGCCCATTATCCACATAATAAGGGTTGTGGATAGCGAGCCGTGCCTCTGGGGAAGACATTGAGTTTATCTTTGCGATCTAGCTAATGTCTCATAACTCGTCAACTAAGTAAGATCGAATCAGACTGTACGAATAGATGAACCATCAAATCGGCCACATCTACCAAAGACATGTCCAACCGACATGTCAAAAATCGGGGCGGAGCAAATCGTACGACTTTCCCCATAGCCCCAAACGCGTTTCTCATTGCAACCCTTGGAAGACACCGCAAGAGTCCAGAAATTTGGAGAGCGAGTCTTTGAGGGGATATTTGCCGTCTTAAGGGGGTTTCCTTCTCTGCATGATTGTCTGCAAATTCGTCCTGCGCCAACGCGGCACAGCAAACTCTGTTTTTCTTCAACCCTGTCCACCAGGTAACATTCGGAAATCACTACTTGGTCGCAGGGGTCAGGACTCAATCCGAGTCGCTGACGGACTTTCTACGATTCATTCACACTAACCCGCTAGTGCTCAACAAAGACATCAGCTCCACCTAGCTCATCTAATGCCTGACGGTGGTTGCCTACCTCTTCTTCAAAGGCGAAAATGTCCCTCGCAAGCCTCGGCCGAGGCGATGAAGAAAGAGAGGAGCGTCGTATTCACAAATCACCGCGTAACAAAAGTGCGAGGTCGTATCCTGAATCTCATTCACCGGCCCCATGTTCCGGGCACCACACCACGCCTTACTCAGATTGTGCTGCTATGCGGACCGAACTAATCCACTTACCGATCCACGACCGCACAGCAGGCTTCTATCCGGTGGGCTTTTGCAAAGAAATACGATTCGTTTCTGGCCAGAACACGGTCGGCCAACAACAGACTTCAGCTCAAATGTATATTGGCCTAGGGTTGATCGAATTTCCTACAGTGATGACTGGGCATAAGCGGCAAAGCCGGAGGAGTATCGAGCATATACGGATGAAATGTGAGGCTGTTCTTCGATGGATGATGCGAAGTACCTACCTCATACAGAACCAATGATACCCTGTACCTAATGGTTGTACCATCCAGATTTAACAACATGATAAATTTCCCGTGCCCTTCCGCAAGTAACGCTGCATTAGGTGAATCTACACTCTATCCTCTAATTCCACTATGTCTCATCGCGGATGGCTTCCTGCCTGACTGGACCATCTACACCAAGGATGTCTCAGACGGTACCGAGCAGTCTTGCCTCCATGGCGTACTGACAGCCCAAATGGAGCAAGCAAGCCGGATTTCTGCCCGGATTGTCGGTATTAAGCTTTCAAGTTATCTGGAATAATCCGCAGCAATCCTTGTCTAGAGGCAGGAGAAGACTGCAGGAACGTGATAGTCGAGGGCCTGCAGTGTTCGAGAATGCGCCATCCTTGACAGGTCCCTGGCATCTTCTCGAACGCCATTGCACAATCAGCCACTCACAAGTCTTCCTTGTAATCTTTCTTAGCCACGCCTCGGGTACGCAGAGCCCATGTATCCTGAAGCCTGAAGGAGTTTTCCCTGCTTGGCAGTAACCGGCGAGCACAAGATCTCAATGTCTCCTGGTGCTGGCGGAGGAATGACCCTGAATCAGTGCGTTGCCGGCTTGTGGTCTCCGGCCAGGGATGTAGCAATGCTACCCAACCGGCGGAAATTTGAAGAATTTCAGCAAGTTTTCTGCGGCAACCCCCAAGTCTCCTCTCTGCCCTGTTCTTTTACTATCCGTGGAAATCACCGACCGGGAACTTGCGAGACTAGTCCGTCTCAACCCCAGCCTTACCATGAAACGGGGTCGTAGAGAATGCAGGTCTGTCACGATTGGCGTACCACTAGGCAGGATCGAATACTGAATACTCCCCCTTCCAGTCCATTTCAACACACTGCTCTTGTAGAGACTACAGATGGACGTTACCTTGCTTCCCTGTTCGGCGTAAGATCATAGCTAGTCTCCTGGTTTTCTCCTGTTACGGATGGCGATGGTAAGCAACTATGCTCAAGAACACTGACCAAGCGTTCCCAAGATCAAGATCGAACTGCTGAGTGCTCCTTTCTTCATGAGTAGCCAATACGAAGTACGATCTCTCAGTGTCCCAAGAGGAAACTCGAGACCCAACACCTTGTATATATCTCACAAACTCTCCCACGGGCCTATCGCGCAACCCGACCCCCGATCCTTTTCTTCGACCTCTCCCCGGCCTGCTCTCCCACCCCCGGATTCCAACTTTAACTTTGGTGCCAAGTCTGCAGAGGTTCAAACTTTCCTTTTCTTTCCGTCAGAGCATTTCAACTTTCACACTCGTTCTTCGACTTTGTGACGAGGGCCAAGCATGGAACTCGTCGCTCAGCGGGCCGTTGAGGCTCGGTGGGCCAATGTCGAGGACTTACCATCAACGCCTTTGCAGAAGGTGATCATGGCGATTCTGTTCTTGTTCACTTTAACTGCATTCTTGACCTATGCCTTGAGAATGTACAGCAAATGGACATCAAAACAGATTGGACTTGGTAAGTCGTCCAACCTAAGCTTTTCTCATCGAGTGTTCGTCTCATAATTCCATCAGATGACTGGTTCATGACCGGAGCCATGGTAAGACCAGGCCAGCCTTCACCGGCAGAGTGCCGATCACCACCTTTCGGTATTCCATACCCTGACTAACGTCGACATGGCAGTTCTTCTCAATGGCCCTACTGGCTCCAACATACATGTTCTTCAAGTACTACTACGCAGGCTTCCCTACCGCGGCGCTGCCTGAAGACTGGGACCCCGCCCCTATGCTGTTCTGGAATTGGATCATGCAGGTCCTCTACAATCCCATCCTCGCGCTCGTGAAATCATCGATTCTGGTCTTTTTGCTTCGCCTAGGTGGGCACAAGCGTGGTGTACGATGGACTATTTACGCCCTCAATGCCATCAACCTGGCAACAATGGTGGCCATTTTCTTGGTGGTGCTATTCCAGACACTTCCGATAAATGCTTTCTGGGATTCGACTATTCCCAAGCAAAGAGAAATTGATGGACCGCTATTTTACATCGTCAGTGCCATCATCACCATCATCACCGACTTCTTTGTTCTCGCCATTCCGTTTTGGATCTTCCTCGGTTTGAAGATGCGCATGGCCGCCAAGATTGGATTGATAGTGGTCTTCCTAGCAGGTGGAGTGTAAGTCAAGGCGCCCGAAAGACCTACATGGATCCAGAAGGCTTGGAATGACCTCGCATTTGAATTTTTCGATGCTGACTTTGTGAAAGGTCAATCATTGTGGCTGTCCTCCGTGTCCACGAACTCCGGAAGAAGTTCTACAACATCACCCCCGGCTACGATCCCCGAGACGGCATTGGCGACACATACAGCGCAATCGAAGTCAACCTCTCCATCATCGCCGCCTGCATCCCGGCTCTGCGGCCACTCTTCCGCAAGTGGATGCCGGGAATGTTCTCCAACAAGAGCAGCGCCGACAATGCAGGGTACAACAGCAGTCAATACGGTCGTTATGGTGCCGGCACTGGGAACGGCACGGGGACTGGTCGACTGAATCGGAATACTGTCGGCAACGGGTTCCCGCTAAAGGACATGCGGAGCACACACACCGAGATTCGAGGCCACTCACCAGACGGCAGTGAAGAGGAGATTATGACCTACAACGGCATCATCAAGACGACCAATGTAAGAGCGAAGACAAAGAATGATTTTATGGTTTGAGGATACTAAGGAGTTTAACAAGGTTCATGTCTCGTATGATGATTCGGTTATGACGGATAAGGACTCAGGACGGGAGCAATTGGATTCGGAGAAACCGGTGAGGCGCAACAGCAAGTTTGGGATCGGTTCAAAGTAACAATTGGGTTGAAGGAGCACGGGGCTTTTGAAAGGGAATTGGTATGAGCGCATGATCGAAGATTACTTATCTCGCTATTTAATGATCTCACTGTGTGTACTGGAAGCACCACTTATTTCCTCCCTTCGTAGAAGCCTCGTTTGAGATGAATTTCAATCTTCCCTCTCGGCATCGACGTAATTTCAACCCTAGACGTAGGGATTAATTTGTTTCGAGACCTGCTCACATATAAGGCATGACTGAATTATGACCTGCTAATGCATGCTGGCTCATTGCGGACAAATCTATACTTTGATGGGCGTGTTTGTGGAACGAGTTGGCACTGCCGTTAACGGTCATAGGTCCATCCCAAGCAGGTTCTATCTGTCCAGGCAACACAATATTTCTTTCGATTTACGCATTCCTGGCAATAAAAGCCATCGCGGGTCTGGCAAGTCTCGACATCATTGCCAGTGATTGCTGGAGCCGCAGCGGCAAGGCTGGTAAGGAGGCCAAGCGTAGTAATGATGGCGACGAACCTCGTTCTCAAACGATTTCCTCTGGATTGATGGTAAAGAGGCGTTGATGCCAAGTGTGCAGCGTGAACTGAAGGCTGGTGTGTACTTATCTTTCTGACGTAGGAACGATAGGACATCAGCGGCTAAGGACGACCCATCTAAATGAATATTTTGAACATGCCTTGCTTGAGAATTTTTCCATGATACATGGCCGAGAGTCGCTTCTCCCCAATTTTTCTACCTTCGGGCGACCGGGAAGAACATACGCTGCGACAAACAGCGGGTGATGACCTGATCTCTTTCGAGTCAGAGACTCTTAAGAGGCCTTCGAAGAGATAGATTGAAACAGTTCTTGGTAGAGACCCCAGTTTTCGAAGCTCCGCAGAGAGAGATCAGACGATTCCAAAGCATGAGTGGTGGAAGTAGGATCAGCTAAACGTCAAATAGTGGAGGTCATAGATGAACGGTGCCACATAATCATAGTAGACCATTCTCCTGCCTCTTCTTGGTGGAAGTCTAGGCGGATGTGTTATGAAAGACGGAAAAAAGACCATCGTTGAGGTGAAAGCCGTCGCCGCCAACCTCGCCAATAGTTCGCTTGAATATTTTGATTGAAAGAGGAACTCAGGAGCAGCGAATCAGGAGTCGCATGATTCCCGCCAAGCTGCACCAAGCTCTCAATGCCGCGTCCGCTCTGGAACTCATTGTTACGCTGTACGACTGTAATACTGAATGAAGCCCGCTAGATAAACTTTCTCGGTTTCGTACAATTGAGTTTCGTATTTTCCTTGTCGACGATTTTGTCCTGTTACTGATACCCAAGCTTGGAGAAGAACATTGCAGGCAGTTGTAGTACACCGACTTTGCCAACCTGTGCTGGATGATTGGGATACCACCACCGCAGGAAGATTGCGGATCCTGGCCAAACACCACTAGTGTGCATAGAATGACTCCATGGCTCATCAGCTAAGCAAGGATTGTGCAACGAACTAGGTAGCGTGAGCGAGCGACGAAGTCTTCATCTGGAAGAGCAAATGGGACATGTGGCGATCAAATCATTGCATTGGGCATTGGTAGAAAGTCGATAATTGCTTATATCTTTTTATACAACACGCTAGAAGTACTGTACCGCCTATGAATATATAGATGCCTCAACAATGGTCGGCTTAGCCTGTGCAGCACTGGGTGTCGCAGCGCTCGCCCTGGACACAAGCCATTAGGACAACGAATCTGGGCGAGAACAGATACTCAAACTTACTGCTTCAGTTGTAGTTTTTGAGGGTCCCAAAGAGCGTTCGAACCCCTTGCCTTTGCACATTTCGTTCAGAGATTCGGTGATGCCATCGGCAAAGCACAAGCAGGCGCCTCCACTGCAGTATGTGATAGTCGACGAACAGGACTGGGCGGCGGCGCCAGCAGCCAAGAGGACGGCCGTGTAGAAGAAAGAGAATTGCATGTTGACCAGCGGGCTTTTGGCTGTGAGTGATTTTGTAGAGGGAGTATGTCGAGCCTTAGGAGTGGGAAGGGGAGTAAGGGGAGTATAATACCATTTATAGCTTGAGTCCGTCGTGAATGCCTGGGTGATCTGTTGGAAATTGTCTTCCTGCGTTGCTAAAATTGGTGCCATTGGGGAAACCAGGATCTAATCAAGGTGAACGTGAAATAGTAGGACGACCCTTGCTGGGCATGATCATCTGAAGCAACTGCGGCCGGTCAACGTGGGGTCATCTGGAGATGCCGTTCACTAGGATAGTCTGAGACAGACAGGTGGGCTCGCTCACTCCCCACATCCGATGATCGTGTTCATCCGACAACGTTTCGACCTAGTTGACGTTGGACTTTGGGTCTTCAATTCAGGCTCTGCAGCGATGGGGTAACTTGAGACGAGCTAAGAGTACCTTAGTTACGAAGCAACAGCGGGCGAATCGCTAGACAACATGTTCAGCCTGGTGAAGTCAACGAAGGCATAGCCAAGGCCCACCAAACTGAGTCCCACTAAAGGAGTCTCCGGCTTTATATTGCACACTCTTTCATCCTATCTTACCTGCCTTAGTCACTTGTATATTGGAAAACGCAAACTTGACAGTCATACAACTGGCTGGGGTACACGCGCGTTGAGGAGATTGAATGACTTGTCAAGCTAGCGTAGTAAAATAGTCTTCCTCAGACTATCTCCTACCGAAGCACATCACACAGTATTTACTTTCTTGCGAATCAACATGACTCCGGTCTCAATCACAAATGCACCTGACACGTGCTACGGGATGGATGATCAACTTTCGGACAGAAACCGCGAGATTCGGATCTTCAGATTGTAGGTGGGAAGGCAGCCGTACCACATACTAGTTGATTAATCTTCTTCCCTTCCTACATAACATCAAGCTCGTGCGCTCCGCCAACTGCCTCAGATTCCCTGTTGTTTCAGATCAGACAGTACCATGATTCGTAGTTATGGCGCCTCATCGGGCAAGTGATTCCGCGGTAACTGACTCAGGAAGTACTCAGCGTAAGAAGTAGAGACGACTCCAAAAGTTTAAAGACTGGGATACCAGTGGGGACGTCCACCGGTAAAGCAGTACTCAGTACGGCGGTTGGACACTCCTTGGCAACGCTATGGTACTCACATACGCGTGACGCGCATTTTGCTGAAGGGTCATTGATGCGTGACTCGCGATACAACTTGGAGCGATCTTTGCTATTGAGGTATTCCTAGAGAAACCCCTAAAGACAAAGTCCAAATCGCCGTATTGCGAGTGTACAAGTCTCGAGAGTTCCCTGGAGCATGGCCAAACCAAACCAATATTTAGGCTGACGAGGGCTTTAGACTCTAATCTCTATTACTTTACAGTTCATTGTTCTTAGCGTAGGCCTCGGCGAAAGCTACCCTTTCATACCGCTGAAATCTATTTTTCGCACGTAGCACCGTGCACCAGCACACTACGGTTCTTCTTCTGTGTTGAAACCTGTACGTCAAGAGCAGGGTTACCCTGGAAGAAGTTGACCGGTTTCAGCCCTACCATCATTTTCTCGCACGGCATCACCGGCCAGTCTTCGATACGAGGGTTGTGCGTAGACCCAAACGTGTGCCAGACTACAATGTCCTCATTGCGCACTAAAGACGAGTCACTATCTACCCGTTGCTCCATCCAAGATCCGATGCCATCATCTCCAGTTGACTGCATGGTGAACCTTCCCGCCGGGAAGAGCTCCTCGTCGTGGTATCGTGTCACCCAGACAGCGTGGGATGTGTACCTTGCGCGCTTACCATGCCATGAGTTTGGCTGGGCGAGGAGAAGTTGACTGTAGTGAGGTAAGAGTTTGAAGCCTACAGCAGTTCCAGTAGTTGAATTGGTGACATTCTCGTTGACGATCTTGAAAGTTCTGTTCGTGTTAAAATCGAGATCCAAGCCTGCTTCTTTCTCAATGACTGAAGACGTTGTGGTGTACCCTACGCCAAAAGGGTTATATGTGTCCGTGTCCCCACTGAAGGGGATTGGGTGAGACTCTTCGACAACCAGGGAGTTTTGAGGCCCATCGATGGCAGGATCAATCCTCAAGCAGAAGATATGTTGGTGATATGGTGCCAACACGCCGGGAGCGACGATGGTCCCCCATGGGACCTTGGTGTCAAGGTCAATCGGTGCTGTCGACATGATGCCCGTGGCGCGGACTTCGTAAAATATCGAAGCGTCCTGCTGAAAGTAGAAGAGGAAGATGTACTCGTAGTTGCTGACCGTAATGATTGTCTGCAGCACGAGAACTCTAGATCTGGTGACTACAGCATTTCCAGTCCGGAAGTTCGTGTGCTTCCAAAGAATCCCGTCGTCAATTTCATGGCAGCAAATAACGTTGGGCATCTTCAGCGGTTCTCCCGATGAGGTACTTAGCCACCCGTCAAAGTACTTAATGTGCCCGAGGCAATCGCAACCCAACTTGAGGTTATTGGCGTTGATCCCTGCGCCGTCGTTCCCTAAATCAAAGGCGGCTTTTCGAGGATAGGGGCATCGAGGATCTCCATAAGGCACAAACATCTCGGCTAGAGACAGACGATGAAATAGACTTCGGCCGTCGAAACGGATGTCGTGGAGAGTCATACCCTCTCTATAGTTGAAGCCGACTCTCATTGTCCACTTTTCCCAAGAAATATGGTTTTCGTCGGTGCTAAACGATGGACCCTCGGGCTGGGAGACGTGGTACGGCTTCGTCGTTGTCCTGCGCTCTTGTACAAAGTCTGGATGATACTCGCTCTTGGAATGGATTTTGCGGCGATCAAATTCCTTGCCCTCATCGCTGAGCTTATCGTGCTCCCCAGAAGGCAGCCGGTAAATTTTGGCCACTTCGAGGGAGTTGGATACTTCCGCACATATGTCCAGCGGATAGGCATAGTAATTCGCGTCGGGGTTGTTAGAGAGTCGCATGTAAAACCATGCCTGAAACCTTAAGTCAACTAGTTTCTACAGGCGGAACATGTGGCAATCTCACCATTGTCCAGCGGTCTCTCATATCCCTCATGCCATCCGTGGCATATGCCCAAGGCTCGACGACGACGGTTGCGCCTTCTGGTAACTTGAGGGCACTGATCTCGCATTGGATCTTTTCGTCCGCCAGACAAGCTGCAGCAACTTGTGCCATAAAGTCTGTGTCGATGAAGGAATGGCGACCTGGCAGCGGGGTGGTAGAAGCAACGGTCGCAGTGTCCAAGTTGACAATCATCTCATGCAAAGTTTTGGCGATGTAAGCCTGCACTCTAGCCTGTCTTGCCGGGTGGACGGCATCTCTATTACCGGCATGCTCGCTGTCAAGGAACTTGACCAGTTCCGTCTTCGATGGCTCAACGAGAGAGATTGCTCGATAGAATATCTCCTTGCTTTGGTTTGAATCACGGACGATTCCAGCGGCCTGTATTGTGTCAACAATACATATGACAGACGTAGTTTGTATCGTTGGAGTCTCTTGCAGATCACTCACCTGGCTGATTTCTTCTGGTCGCAGAGGATCAAGTGGATGGGGTTTCCCCTTGATATTAGCGTCCCCCATGGCGATTATCGATTAAGGTGCTGGAAATGCTGAGGCGGCAAGCTCAAGAATGAAATTTGACAGGAGTGGGACTCAGTACACTGAATCGGAGGTAGAAAGGCTTTGGATACGTTGTCTGAGGCAATCGCCAGGGTTTTAAGTTCAAAATGGCGCCGAGAGCGGCACATGTGACTATCTCGGGGTTGATAAGCCGATCATTCGGAACGATAGCGCATCCCCGCACCGGACGGCGTGCATCACTGTTCCCGAAGGGTAGTTGGAGCCTCGAAAGTGGAGAACTTCTTCCGGTGCCGTTCCGCAAAGGTAAGGAATTGTCGAGGCAATAGCCGGCTCCCCGGTCATCAACCCGGTTCTTCACCCATGACACCGGTCCGGTCCGTCTATCTACAGCGACCGAGATGTCTTCCGCGCCCTTCAGGTGGACCATCTTCCCATTTGTCTGGCAGTTGATGGCGAACCTGTCCCGCCCCAAACACACATTCGATATCATTAGGAAGACCAGTGGGCAGGTGTAGTTTTCATACCCATTAAAGTACTATTCCTAATCATAAGCAGTCTATGGTTCACGACGCAAATTTGACTTCAGCATGTCTATCCCTTTCCCGCCGATCTCAGTAGTTACGTTAGAAAACAGCCGCTTCAAACACGGTCAGCCGCATAGGTCCAGACTCCTCGGCTTTTCAGGTCCTACCTCATTGATATATCCGTTGAGTGCCTCAAGCTAATCATATTCAAAGCCAGCTCGTCATTCCAGCCGTTTTATATCAAATGTGCTCAAATACTGGCTCTCAGCGTGAGCCACCCGCCTAGAAGAAGGGAGCGGGCAGCAAAATAGCAAACACCGCCCAAGAAGAGAATAGCAAGATAGAATCCCGAGAGCGCTGTCCCTCCCATGCTCTCTAACATCTGACCACCGATGGGAACGGTGACTAGCAACGAGAAACTAACTACGAAGTTCATGGTCCCTTGAAGGCGTGTCGTTAGTCAATAAAGAAGACGATAGCAGTCGAAGGGCACCACTTACCCAGATACCTTCCGTAGTCCTTTGGCTCGCAAGTTTTTCCTAAACAGACTAGGCTGTGTCAGTAGTGTCATTGGCTTGTATGGAGTTAGTCATTGCTGTCTCTTACCTGGCGTGCTCGAGAGGAAGGATCCTGATCCATAGCCCCAAAGCGCGGCAAAGGCATACAGGGCACCGATATGTTTGGTTCCGAAAGGCACGAAAACAACCCCGGTAAATACAATGGTGATACCTATCATAATGAGGAGGATGTTGAGGTGACCAATTCTATCGCCGATCACGCCGGTCATGATGCGACCGAAACATGAAGTGCCGTTAAGAATGGCCACAAGGGAGAACCCGATATTGGAAGGGAAGCCTGCAGCAATGGCAAAAGTAGGCAGTAGGCCAGTGATTCCAAAGAGAACGAACTCGAGCATGAAGAGGCCACCAGCCATAAATCCAAACGGCGGGGAGCGAAAGGCCGAGAAATTGAGCAGAGCTCCTACTTTCCCAACAGGTGCTCCAGAGACAGGAGTGGATAGGCGAGGATAGGGAAGAAAGCATAAGACGCCCACAACCATAATTCCAAGAACTAGGAAGCCCATGATTCTCATGGACCACTGCCAGCCCAGTCTAGGCAGAATGGACCGAAGCATCATCGAGATGGTCACGCCTCCAAATGAGGATCCGGACAGGGCGACTCCCATGGCAAGCCCCTTGCGACGGCTGAAGAGCTTTCCGATGACTGCCACCGCGACTGTGGATGTGAGGGCTCCGCCGATACCGCCTAGTACTCCTAAGCAGAGAATGAAGTGCCAGTATTGCGTGCATTCGCCCATGATGAAAAACACGGGGACATAGAGTGCCACGGAGATGGGAGCCAGCCACTTCGTGCCATAGGCATCCATCAATGGTCCGGCTTGGATTCCAAGGAATAGTGCAAGGGAGGTGAAGATTCCGCTGATCCAACCGAGATCGCGAGTGGAGTACTCACTCAGCTGATGTAGCTGGAGGTATGACTGAACAGTGCCAACAGATTGCATAAACCCTATGGTGAATCTAAGCATAGTCTCAGAGAAACGAAGGTATCATGAAGAAACTCACCGTATGATGGATAAAGAAACATGAATGATCCTAAAACACATAGCCAAGCCAACGGGCTAGATTCGGGGTCGTGATGGCGAGAACTCGTCCGACTGCGCACTGCTCCCAGCTCAATGGCGCCCGTTGCATCGTGGGATTCACTCACGGCTACTCGATTTCGCTCTTCCGAGGCGCCCATCGTAGCTCTCAAACACGATTTGGACTTTGATGGTGATAACTTGATGTGCGCCAGAGAAAAACTTCCAGTTTGGTGAACGAAATTTTCTCCTCTTTAGTCGTATCTCGGGATCCAAGGCCGTCTGGCCGGGATGCCTGCCGAAGACGGCGTATGCACCTAGTAAGAGTCATTCATACATGTCGACCACGCCTTGCAACCCTTGCGTCTCATACAAGTCACCGTAAGTGGTAGAAAGTGGGGTCCCACGCCCTAGGCTTATCATGTGTTCGCCCTAGGTTGGTTGAGTCGATCTAGAATCTCTTTCAGAAAGAGTCTGCATGTCTCCACGTCCGATGGGCGGAGATGGGTTGGGGTAGTAGTGTTCGTTGGGTTTCCTCGGGAAACTCTTCCCAGTAAGGCAGTTTTGCGCGGACACTATAGGGTTCACAAAGAAGACAAAAACTTTTAGCCTTCCACTAGTTTCAAAGCCTGTGGCTTATGTGCATTCTTGAATGTAATGTATTGACACACAAGTCGAGATGTATATACATGAAGATCACCCCGCGCTTGTTTAAATGTTTACACAGATTACAAGTAAGAAGCTTCAACCAAGAAACCAACAGTGAACTTGGAGTGGCGGAGGACGGCAGACCACTGGATAGTGTCGTAGCTCTGTTGCATGTCAAGTCAGCATATAGTCGATATCTCGGGCGGAAATACTGGTAACTTACGTCGTTGGGGCTGTGGATGTAGGGGGTGGAGGTGTCGATGGGCTCATCGCAGACGTAGGCAGCAGCTGTAGGATTATATTAGATACCAAGTCGTAAACTTTCCAAGACATCGCTGTCAACTTACGGAAGCCGTTGGAGCGAGCGCTGGCGTGGTCGGAGCACCCGTATCCGCAGACGTCGCTGGTGGGCGCGCTGCCGGTGTACTGAGTTCCAATGAGACGGACGTAGGTGGTAAGAGCGGAATCGACTATCAGGAGTCAGTGATGCTACTACATGCGTGCATGATATCAATGAGTGATGAGCTTACCATAGTCGTTGTAGACCGAGAGCTTGCCGGAGGGAGAGTAACCGGCCATATCCTGGTTGACGAAGGCAAGGACGGTTTTTCCGGCGGACTTGTAGTTGGCGAAGACAGCCTGGGAACCGAGAAGGCCGCCCTCCTCACCGGCGTAGAAGTGGAACTCGAGGGTGTTCTTGGGCTTGAAGCCGGCGTTGGCGAGAACGCGGAGAGCCTCAAGGATGACAACGACGCCTGAGCCGTTGTCGTCAGCACCGGGTCCACGGGCAGTGGAAGATCCTCCGGTGGAGTCGAAGTGGGCACCAACAATGACTGTTGATCGCGGTTAGCACACGGACGGTGGGGATAGAATGGGCGGTGCAACATACCCAGGTCGGAGCTGGTTCCGGGAATCTTGACGATGATGGACGGCTGGCTGAAGGAGTGGGTGAATTGGGTGACGGTAATGGCCGAGTTGGCAGCCGCAACAGTCTTGACCTGGTTGAACAACCAGGTGGCGGCCTGGGTACCGTAGGTGGAGCGGTAGTAGCGGTTGTAGAAGCTGGATATTGTCAGCATGTACTCACAGGTTGGATCTGGGCTCATAATCACTCACTCGGTCAAAGTCTTCAACCAGGTCTGGGGGTTGGTGTTAGAGACCGACGCGATGAGGGTGTTCGCCTCGGTGACGTGGGACAGAGTGGTGGGGTATGTCACTCTGGCCTCGAGGACCTCCTCCGGCGGGGTGGACAGGACCGCCAAGACCTCATTGTCCTTTAAGGGGTTAGCTTCATCCATAAGTCGATGAGAAACAGTCCAGATATACGACAATGTCGGTGATGTCAATGAAGCCAATGTGCTTGTTGACATACTCCTCAATCTTCTGGTCCTCCGTGACCCAAGTGCCGGCGTCGGCCTCGGACGTCTTGATCAGACGAAGCGCAGGGTCAACTTGAGTCTCCTCAGTAGCAGGCGCAGCCAGGGCAACCCTGGAGGCCGCGAGGATCGCGAGAGCAGCGTTGAGATGCATCGTTCAGATTGTCCTGTTGATGAGCGGCGTCCGTTGATGAATGGTGCAGGTGCAACGAAAAGAGTAAGAGAATCTCTCTGGCCAAGACCCCGGAGAGAAGTCCCCTTTAAATACACTCATCGTAGCCTCAAGGAAAAGCGAAGCATCCACGGCCTCCCGCCCAACGCTTGCGGGATGTGGAGGATCAGCCAGGACGGCGGCAGGACCCGTTGCCCCAAACAGGCATCTCATTATGCCAACGGCTTTCGCCGTAGTGGCACGCAATACAATGAATAAACAGAAACAGGAAGCCCGTTACTCAGAAGCCCACAAACACCGTTCAGTCTCTCGGGGGATGGAGAGCATGCGGCAGGAGCATTTAAGCTTATCATGATCGCCAAGCCCGCGCGAACTTTGGGAGCTGCCCAACCGAGCTAGTGTCGGCTGTTGGCTGGGTCATTGATGCTACCCCGGCCGGCAGTCCCGCACACTCAGACTGGGAGTTAAGAGGACTTTATTGGATGCTGCTTGGGGCGCAATGTCGCTGAACACGATTTCGGTTCTTGGCAAATCCACATCACGGAGCGTGTGAGCTGTTTCCTGTGCTGGAAAGGAAAGTGTCCTTATGACGCGCTACTCAGTCTCGTCTAGCAGTGTTGATGCGTCTGGAGAGAAGGGAAGGTCAAAACATGGGGGTCTTTACTTTGAAAGCAATGGAAGGAAGATATTATTTCATCACCCTGTGAGCTGGTCCCTTGCAGACGTCGACTCTCGGCGTGGTGTCGCATGCGATTAGATTCGAATGAATCGAAGCCTAAGATATAGGGAACTTGACTCATCTACAGTGGACCCCAGTCTACACCACAATGCAACTTGGGCTTCCTTCAGACGACATGAAGCTTACCTATCCATTCGTCTCTACATATAGAGCGGCTACATCATCCATAGAACGACAAACGCAAACGGCGTGGAAAGACCTGCATTTGCACGTATCCAGAACGACTCTCAATTTTTCCTTGCCACACAATGAACCTGTCAACTCTATACCGACTTCTCTAACTGCCAAGTTTATTTGGATCGAGACAAAGCATCCTGAAATTCATGTATTAGTAGTCGTAGTCAGATTCTCTTACCACCAATGGCGAAGTGCTTTCAACCACGATACTGGAGGCAGTGGCTTCGCATCTGAAATCTTGGCATCGGATCTCTCTCAAGACTTTTGTTGAATGGCGGTAGCTCTAAATTCTTCATTATCGAGATGGCAATCCTCCAGATATCTTCAAGAGCCATGTTTCGTTGACTGGTCTTGATCAAGTTACGAACTGTTGAGCTAGGAATGAGATGTCTTCGATGCCCCAACTGCTTACATCCAGTTGCGACAAGTGCTTGAGAATGTCCTTTTGCACCCAAATAGGATGGTGACCACGATATGCTCGCGTGAATCGGAAGTCCAGAGCTTCCTTTTCGCTGCCCCAAACAGAGGCTCGTATAAGAGTGCTACATGATAACGCTGCCAATCGTCCTGGCCCGGTCGGCTATGCCCTTCGAAGTACTCAAGGAGCACACATTACATCAGTCCTTATCTTTGAGCTTGAGGTCTAACTTTCAGGGTATTTTGTCGTTCTCGTCGTCCACTGCATTTGATGCAAGTCGATCGTCGCAACAGTGAGTACTTCTAGTCTCGCCAATATCGAGCTCTTCACTGCTGCTCTGTTGAGTACATGTGTAAGTCATCAAACAAGTTACTAGGAATGACGCGTTCTATCTACAATGAGCCAGGTTCAACCAGCACTAGCAGTTCTGGGCTGTCAGTTTAAGATTTCTGACCTCCACTCGAGTTGTGTGAGGATCTTAGTGTGACAATGGTAAGATCTCATAGCGCCTTGGATCGATGCTATGTAATTAGTTTTTAATCATTCTGCCCATGACGTGAGAACCGTTACATCCACACCGTGATAAGCAACATCATGAATGTTACGAGTGACAACTTTCGTCGAAAGGGTTGTCGAGAAAGTGTATCATCACGGTGAAGTTGAAGCCAAGTTACGGTCTCGCATTTACTAGAAGACATTCACTAGAAGACGTTCACTGTAAGTTTAAGGTTGGGTGAACATCTAGCGGATGTAATTAATGAGGGGCAATTGTGGTTTGTATTATATTCATGTCGTGCCTTTCACTGTGTGCGTGAAATTTGCAACACAGGCCATGGTCCCTAACATGTACGTCCCCAGTCTCTCGATGAGTACCAGTAGTGTAGTATGTACTCAAGAAGCAGACCCGACTCAACGTATCCAGTACCCAATCATCTTCTCATGATCGTACACAAGTCGTGAGAGGTCGCAAGTGAACGTACCCATCTATGCCCTTGAAGTCTTACTTCGCAGTACGCTTCACCTTACGCTTCAACTCGCGCCTCTCCTCAGCCCAATACGGATACCCTTCACACTCCCCACTCTGATCCCACTCCTTCCTCAACAAGCGATCAACTTTAACCACCTGCTTGCCATACCACAAATCCAACCAAATCGCATTCTTCCTCTTCTCCTCCTTCAAGTCCTTCATCCGTCTCCGGTAGCACTTCTCGATCCTCTTCGCCATCAAGATGTCATTATTCGACATCTTCCGCGGGTACATATCGGCACCACCAGAACCGAGTCCACCAGGCCGGAACTGCATGTTGCAGGCCTGCATCCGCATACCGTAGTCCTCGTCCATGCGCGCGTGGTCGTGGAGCTGGCATTCTTTGAGGTAGGCGAGCTCTTCGCGGAGTTTGTCCTGCTGCGTGATGGCGAGGCAGCGGACGCGTCCTGTGCGCTGGGCAAAGTCTGAGGTGGCGGTGCCGTGGTGTTGGATTGCCTCGAGGCCTTTGTAGGCTTGGGGTTCCGGGACGAGGAAGCCCATGGGCCGGGGGTAGGGGACCATGTGGTTGAAGATGCGGAGCATTGTGGTTGTTTGTGCTTTTTGTTTGGTGAGGGTGATGGTCTTGGTAGAGAGTTTGATGGGATTGAGTGTGAAGGCTTTGGACTTCTGACCAGGAGGTGCAGTGAGGTGTAGCTTGCAGGAGTGGCAGCCTATAAGATGTAGGAAGGCTGGACTGACTCTGTCTGACGAAGTGTCAAGCTCTGGTGATTCGGTGAAGTGAGATTGAGTATGTGGTTGCTGCGCAGAACTCTAGAGAGCTTCTGGACGTAGAGAGTAAACCGAAGGCTTGTGAGTTGCATCAGACAGGAGTGGTGTTTCTCCTAGAAGAATCAAACAAGTTGCGAGGAGATGGTCCGAATTATATAGCTTCCTATATGCCGTCAAGGTAAGACATCGTCCCCTAGGGTACACCAGCAGACCAACTATCGTATACCTTTGTGAGGGGAAAACACCATCCTCTTTTCTTTCCTAGAAAAGTTTGAGCGCCAACTTGCTCATCAAGGACCCTGCTGGGTCATCATCACCATCGGAGTTAAGTATGTTGGTAGTCGGTCCCATGGTATCAGCAAACGATAAATGCGCGTCCTTCTTTGTCGAGGCCAAAGAGGTTAGGCATTGAGCGCGATGTGGTGGAGAGTGTAAGCAAATAAGATTGGGTCAATAACAGCTCATCCGAGAAGAATCCCTTTCACGTGAACCTGCCTACCTTACCTATACGTCATGGGAGCATTAGTAGTCAAGGCAATGCGAATTTGAATGGGTCACTTGCCCTTGCCAACGTTTTCGCAACTGCCCGTGGTAGCGGCCTTGAAAGACAAGAGAGGTTGACAACATTGGATCTGTGACAAAGGCAAGTCAAGAAGAGCGAAATCATGAAACATAAAGTATGGAGAGCTGAGCTCGGATCCAGTTGTTCTATCTCTACGTCTATAGTCTCCATATTGTCTAGTGCTGTATTTGTCGCCGCCAAGATCCGACGTCTTGTACTGTTACTCCGTGGCCAATGCTTGAAAGAACAAAGTGAATCCAACCCAATCCAAACGAACGCTACCGACAAACGCCACAGTGCCATTTCATATGCTTGCCCTTCTATACTCCTTCTTAAACGCCGATGAATCCTCCTCTTGTGCCCAGCTCTCTACCGCGAACCCCAACTCCACATCCGGCTCGTGATTCCACCTCCGATTGTTGAAAAGCTTCCCGAATAGCGGCGAGAGCCAAAACCATGCAGGTATAACCGTGTGAAATCGCACCAACTAGAAGCTGAGCAGGCCACTTCTTCTCTTACCCAGAGGATAAACCATGAGGGCGCTCATAAATAATCCAACGGTGATGCCAATAGCGACCTGAATGACGCTAAGAAGAACCGCAAAGGCCGAGTTGTTAAGGTCTGAACTGTCGGTTGATGTCGAAGTACCGTTATTGTTCGTGATCTGATCAGCCGATGTGACACCTGCCAACAACGACCCGCCTGCCGCGAGACCACTAGGGACCTGCACAAATATAGCTGGAAGCATAGCGGCGGCGGCGAGTCCATATCCGACGGTGCGCTTCCGCTCTGGGACGACACCTTGGGCCTTGTCCTTCTCAGAGAAGGCAGCGGTAGTGGGTGTTGCTGGCGCCGATCCTTCGGGAGTATTTTCTCCGGGAGTATGGACGCCAGTGGGACCGGAAGCTCCGGCGGTTTGGCCAGACATCTGGTACATTTCCGGACGAGGACGCTCGTTGCGACGGCGGCTAGCGCTAACGAAGCGCGGGGCCATGCGAAGATCCCACCAGTCGAGGAAGTCGAGGAAATAGTTGTGGGCATGGCGACCGAGGCGGGAGTAGAGGTTAGCTAGCAATCCTACGGTGAGGGCGCCGAGCATGTTTGAGATTTGAGCATTGCCAACGAAAAAGTCGGACGAGTAGCTGTTAACGAGAAAGCCAGCGAGCGAGATGGTGATCATGACAGGTGTCTGCTTCCACTTGGCCTGATTGATAATGCAAAGACAGAGGGTGAAGCCCGGCACAAACAACAGGTACCAATTCCTATTAAGCGGGTCGGTGCAAGTTGTTCTCGACTCTGCGTGGCGGTCGATCATGCCGTAGAGGGCAGT